TATAAATAATTTATTTTTATTTGATTTTTAAATAATGCTACAATTGCAACAAGAAAACTGGGCATTTCAACATTTTATTTCAACATTTCAAAATAATGTTCCCACAATGTTTTTATAACCTTAATTTGTCACCTGGGATATTGCATGATGTGCTTATCGTTTATAAATGGATAATGGTTGTTTTGCAACCATAGTATTAAACCAAATCTTCACCATTTAGTGCAAATTTAATAGAAGCACCTAAGATAAAGCTAAAGATAAATCTTCCTGTATGGTGCAAATTGAATTCACTGTCATCTAACCAAGTTTCAGTGGGACACATTAGGCACATGCTGATTGCACAACTCTGCAGAATGAAAGAACTGTTACTTTGTTTAAAATTAGAGGCAGTGGGGGCATTGCTGCAAAGTTTTATTGCTGCACTATGGCAACTTTTTCTATAGTAACTGTGGCCCTCTCTTGCGTAGCATCGTTAGGGACGACAAGCTAATAATCCTAGCAGTGACAGTATAGCGTGCGAAAGGCGAGGAGAGCCTCTATTCCCCGAGCTAACTCTGAAACAGGGCTTCCAGTGAAGCCGCCTGCAATAGCACAAACAAATTCTGATAATTAGCTCATGCCAGCAAAGTCCCCTTTCCAAGTGATTGGTTAACCTCTCCGGTTTTCCATTCACACCTTCACTCCCAGAACACTGAATGGAGGGAGGCTGCGGGGGATGAGAAGTGCATTCGCTAGCTGTTAATTTCTTTCATAAAACTGGGAGGAAAGTGACTGGATGTGATACAGAGATATGCACTGTAAATTGGGACAGAACATTTTGCTATTGAATCTGAATAAAACATTTTTTTTTTTTTTAAACAAGTATAAACGTAATCTTCTTTAACAAGGATGAAAAATCAACTTGACGCACTATGAGGTGGTCCTCCAGGTGAGGAGGACTAATTGGAACAAAATGGAGCTCAAAAAGAGGTGGGAGACGGGTTTCTGCTTGTTAGTACAGACCTTTTCTCCTTATTGTGTTCAGTAGTTGTGGCAGTGAGTTATATCTACCAAGACACCAAAGCTCACTTCATTTTACACTTTGTGTGGCATAAGAGACAAACCAGCAGCACAACCTAAAAGAAACAAAACTTATCCTTGCTTGCTGGATATTTCAAAAGCCAGAGGTGGAAAGATGCATATTAAAAGGAATCTTTTTATTTTGCTCTAACGAATGTTTTTCTCACGCACATGCCCTCAAATACTCAGAGAGATGTAACACATATAAACATGCACAATTCCCAAGAGTTTACAAAATTTTGCAGACCCCGTGGGATTGCGGTTTCATTTGGAGATGGGAGAGAGTTGGGGAGAGATGAGAGAAACAAAGGCAGGGAGCGTCTTTCCCAACGCTAATGTGCTCAACACTGGCTTTGATCATGAGGAGGCGACGCGACTACCACAATAACAAAATCACTGGGACGAGTGGGGCGGGGCCGAGAGCCGTGGGAACGGAGCGAGGCCGGTGGAGTAATTGATAATGAGCGACACCTGCACCACTCACCGGTCTCGAGTCTCACGGAGGAGCTCCGGAAGGATAAAAAGGAGGAGTGACGACAGTGAAAGACGAGAGAGGACCAGGCCTGGACTTTATTTTGTGTTTTGGTTTTGTTTGTGCGCGACAGTCGTCCGCGAGGGGCTGTCGCGCTGTTTTGTGTTTATTTTATTAAAGTTTTATTTAAATATCCGCCGGTTCCCGCCTCCTTCTTCCCGACCTACAAACGTTTGTTACAATCACTCACACGTGCGGTCATGTGTCACTTTAAAAAGGTGGAAGGAAGAGGAGTAACGGACCAAATGAGCCAAGACTTTTGTATCTCTTCATTATCTCTCTTGGAACAGAAGATGCAAGGGTTCAGTGATTTCATAAAAGTGAGAGACTCAGACACTCACAAAAAGGCCTGGAAAAGAGATATCATATCCATTGGCATTCATTTGACAGCTGCTATCTTTCCAGAACAAGGTCACTGATATACCTACACCGATCACAAGAACTACAGAGAAGAACTCCTTCACCGAGACACTCCCCTTAAATGCAGTTTAAATTAGATTCAGATTTGGACTTGTTGGAAGAGCTTAGCAGTAAAGACCCAATTAAAATAATTTCCACATCAAATACAACTTTAATCTGTTAAACCACCACAGCAGCGTTTCAGTTAATCTGGAAAATAAAATCTTCTGGTCTGCATTTGACTTCATGTGTATACTGTAGCTATTAAGCATTAAAATTCATTTTACTTTTGTAATGTAACTTATTTCCTAGTGACATTCTACAAGAAATGTAAGGTGGTTGATACCAGAATGGACAAGAGCAGTATAAACAGGGTGTGATTTCACACAGTCAGTGTTTGGGATTAAAAACCTTATTTAATAACAAGTGTGACTCTCACACCGGGTTGCCACGTCCAAAGTTTTCCAGTGCAATTGAGTAGGGGTGGCACGATACCATTTTTTCAGAACCGATCCCGATCCGATACCAAAAGTTCTGAGTATCGGACAATACCGATACCGATCCGATACCAGCACAGTTTTTTTTTTATATATACCTCAGTGTGTGTTGACCGGATCATCACTCTTTTGTGTATTACACACAATCTACTAAGTATAGACAAGTTCATTATAAAGAAAAATAACAAATTAAAAAATATATAATCATAATCTATGAGAAAAATACTATTATAACCTAGTTTAGTGGATAATTCAGCAGCAAAAGTTACTCTACAAAAATGTTCATAATAATTTTATAAAATCTAAACATTTAGAGAAAAAACATTATTTAGTGGGGGAAAGTCACAGCGCGCAGCGCTCCGCATAGAGAAGTTCAAAGCACAAAGGGAAGAGATTCTGATGCATAGTGTATTAAATCTGTGCGTTAGTTTACTGAGCCTTTTCTTTTAACAGTTTTAAATTTTAGTTACTGTGCGCGTGAAGAACAATTCATAGTGCTCTGTACTCCAGTGTATAGTGATCTCTAACAGACACCCGGTAGAAAGTAACATGATTTAGAATTAGCTATAAACTCCAGCAAGATAAAGTCCTTTTATGCAAAACCGCTGATGTTTATCTACAGATCAAGTATAATAATAGGAACATTGTATCATCCTAGAGAGAGTTTCGTCATCTTGACTGTCATAACCGAACGCGACACGCAGTTTGAATACTGAATGGAGGATGACTGACAGCCGCAGTGGAGAGAAGAGTTTAGAGAACTTGAATTTAATTACTTAAATATTCATCTGTACCTCACATTATTCTATGGAACGGTATCAGAACACTTGAAATATAGTGCACGGAAACTTCATGGTGCTTTATAATGTTTTGTGCCTTTCGTGGGGCTTAACAATAACACAGAATAGTATACGCACTCGGATTTTAATCGGTCGCGTCTGACCGATACCTCGATCCTGCAGAAAATGCCAGTATCGGAGCGATACCGATCCTGAATATCGGATTGGCGCACCCCTACAATTGAGCTACTTTTTATTACTACTTTTAATTACTACTAGTGATTTCAAGTTGAAATTGTGTATTACAATGCACAACAGTGACTGTAAAATATGTTTTTTAGGTATGGGAGTGGCATATTTCGAGCTGTATTACATGTGGGCTAGAGTCATTGGCCATTTTGTTTCACAGACCTGGCAACCCTGCTTTTGAACTGTCCTGTTCACACAACAGATTAAATACAGAATGTCAATCCTCTTCTCCTGTTAGCCATCCACATCAAGCATGATGTCTATAATTATAATTATTCCATTTTTATAATCCTACTGTCACAGTATTCAGCTGGTGTGCCTTAGATGACCACCAGAGGTCACTGTGTCTGTTTGTTGAGCACATGGCTTGTTGTTTGTTGTTGGTGCCATGTGCTCTCCTGTCTATTGTCTTACACTGCCCTTCCTGTTATCTCATTATTGTTTCAGTTACTCCACCTGTGTCTCCCTTGTTACCCTCCTCGTTTGTCTCCCTATATATTCTCCTTGTGTTTGCAGTCCTGTGCTGTTTCGTTGTTTATGTCTGAGAGTCATTGTCATATGTGTGTATGTTCCCCTGGCCTTGCCTTGCCTTGTCTTGCCGTGCTGTGCCCTGTCTTGGCCTGCCTGCCTGCCTGCCTGTTTTCCCCCCTCTGGGTAGTTTTTGTTAGTTTTGTTTGGTTTTTACTATTAATAAATGCCCATTCGTTCCTGCATTTGAGTCCTCGCCTCATTTCTCTCCAGTTCCCTGACAGAACGAAACAGCCTAATGAGGACTCAGCGTTGAATGGGCTACCTCCAACTACTAGCCTCCACTGCCAGCAATGCACTCTACCAATGTACGCTTCAAGTGGAAGCCTTGAGTTCCCTCCAGCAAGAGGGGAATAATTTGAGGGAATTTGCCAGGGAGTTTTGGAGTGCTGCAGAGGGGCTGGGCTACAAAAATGCGGCTCTCAAGGACCTGTTTACCTATGCCTTTGATGAGCCCATCAGCACCTGGAGGAGGTTTGGCACAGAGCACCTGTCTTTTGGGGCATTTGTGTACTTGCCCACAACGGGAGGCAGTCAGAGGTGCCTTTTCCCATCATGGCCGCCATTCCAGAGTCTTGTCCTGACATGGCTGCCAGTTCAGAGCCTCATCACAAAATGGCCGCCACTCCAGAGTCTCGTCCCATCATGGCCGCCACTCCAGAGTCTCGTCCCATCATGGCCGCCACTCCAGAGGCTCGTCTCTTC